ATGCTGTATAATGCAGCACAATATCACTGCTTGGAGAAGATGGATATCGGGTGCGGGGGAAGGGGGAGGGGTGAGAGCAGCGAGTGGAGGGGTGAGGCAAGGACAGGGGAATAATGATGGAATACCTCAAAGTTTGATGCAAAAACGCATGATCGCACCGGCTCGCCTGGTGCGTTCCAGCCTGGGTTAAATTAAGGAGCATTTATCGGGGAAACGGCTGGGCTTCATGCAACAAACTGATAATCATGTACGCTGAAAGTCCGTGCGGCTCTATAATGCAGCACTTTCATCCCAGCCGACGCCCTTTCCTCCTGCATGCTGAAAGAGGTCAAAATACAGCCAATACGAGTCGAAACTGTAACGTAGGAATCATTCGTGCTTTAGCAATCTGCAAGTTTAACGCAAAAACACATGACCGCACTGGCAAGGCAGGTGCGTTCTAGTCTGGATTTCTCTTATTTATCACGGCAGAAAATAACATTTACTCTACTTTGACTAGTGATACTTCATCGCTGAACTCTTTACCGAAACCGATACGAATGCTTTTATCTTCCTCGGTTCCAAGGTTATTCATGCAATTTCATATGGCACAACATTATTCTGAAGAGTCTTAAAACCATGTGGCTAGATTTAATAATCACTTTTGAACGTGTTATCTCTCTTTCTTGCAATATAACCAGCACTTTTCTTCATGCGCACAGCCTAAATTGTGTTGTTTGCGATGGACTGAGCTACACTGCAACGATTTGCTGATACTTACTGTACGCTGCGTCACTGTCAGCATTCTCGCTTCAATAAGCTTGGTGTTTCATGCATTTTGCATCTATGCCAACAGAAACTGCAACACATTGGGATTACAAAATACAGCTTTCACAACCGATTTCACTGTCGAACAGGAAATATCGCAAAGTTTGGTGGCCTTATTTTTTCCTCAATTTGCACCCATGCTTAGAATTTTTTTTAAAACTTCGTCGTAGTCTTTTCTACCTTGCTCTTTAATTTTTTCTGCCAAGGCTTGTACCTCTAAAATTTTTCGCTTGTAGCTGTCAATTCTTGGTTTTTTCACTAGCGAACATGCGTTACCTCATTTACACAGTCTCTAAACGTTTTGATTACAACAGTATCCGCTTGAATCGAACACAGTAATTCCCAGCAACAATGGACCCCAGCAGTACAAAGAATTGAGACCGTGGCAGATTTCAGCTTCATTCTAGGTAAAGTTATTAATCGCTCGTAAGTATTAAAATTTCTAGGATCAATATGGTCATGCTGGCGTATAAAAAGCACTGGTCCATGTCTTATGGATTTAACCAAATTTCCAATGGATTCAATTTCATGTATGCTAACATTTGAGTCCTATAATTACAACATTGATGAAGTACGGATGAAATGGAATGAACCTCATGCTGTACTTATGTTTAAGGATATCGAATTGCCGGATTTTACATTGGTCAATTATACTACCTCTGTCATCGAGGCTGTAATATTTTCAGCTTTCCGATTGGTTGTAGAAATATTTTTTGTTCATAAACCACAATATTTAGAATGCTTATACCAAAAGTACCCGAAGATTCGGTATGGGTGTCCCATGTGGTCGATCTTACTGGGACATCTCCACATGTCGGATACCTTTGTGTCAGGTCCTTCGATCCTGGGCTGCATACCTCCAGTTCGCAAGGTCTGCTCGATAAATATACACTATCTCCTCTGGAACTGCTCGAGTTGCCGTTTACTTTCCTGCGATTGTCACTCACTAGTATTGGTTGTCATCAAGGCAAACCAAATGCCAGCCGATTGGATTGTACTTTCACAACAAAAAATGAGTTCGAAAAATGCATCAGTCAAGATAGTTTTCAGTCTTAATTACTTTTACAGAAATATGCAGCAGGCCTATGGGATGAGCTTACTGTTTCATTCACGTTTAAGAGGCGTTATGGATGGTATATTTTACAAGGTTCGTTTAGCTTTTTTCGAAAATGGAAAAACGGATTACACATAACACAAAAATTGCTTTAATGCATTTTTTTTCAGGATATATTCCGACATATTTGACAATTTTTATCTCCTGGATCCCATTTTACATGAGCCCGCGAGCGATGCCTGCACGAACAATGATTGGTGTCAATTCGTTACTGGCAATGACTTTTCAGTTTGGTAATATTATTCGGAATCTGCCGCGAGTCTCTTACATCAAGGCAATATCACTGAAACTAATAACTTTGTATTGTTGAATTGTTAATAGGGGAGGACCTACGGGAGTGAAGCATGCATCTTTTGTACAGATTTCCCTCAGATTTTTCTGCTAAATAGCACTGTTTTTTCGACAGGTGCTTCTAGCTAAACCAGTTGTGAATACTTACTTATGTTACCACAGATTATTTTAGCGCGCCATCGCCACTTAAACTACCAGGTTCAGCCTGGTTGCTACAGTTGGCTTACTACAGTAAACACAGTCGAGAGTATACTCAGGAAATTTCTGCAAACTAACTGCTCTGGTTACAGAGCTGCGTCAAATTTCATATGTTCGTACGTGGAAGGGGAAAGTGAATGTTGTTATCCGCTTTTGCATATATGCGAAAGTAACCAGGGTGGAACGCACCAGGCTTTCCGGTGCGATCATGCGTTTTTGCACTAACCTCGCAGATCGCTATTAGCAAGAATGACCGTTGCACGGCAGAAGCGTTTAATTGGTAGTAGAGGAAACTAGATAGTAAGTGTAAGCTTACGTGCAGGAAGTACTGCTGCCTTTTGGTTTATTGCTATTCAGTTGGGACCGACAAATCATTTTATTCAGATTCGGGTAATATGTCTGATACATATATATGTATATATATACATATGTGTATATACATATATATCAATCCGCATTCCGAAAAACTTTAAGATAACTTCCATGAAGTTCTCAAAACACCTTTAAAAGAATCCTGGCAGTAGCACTCTCCGAAAAACTCACTGTCAGTGCTTCTCATAAAATATTTATGAATTTGACCGCTTCCAAAAAAAAACTCCTGGCATACGTCGCAAACCAGTTTGCTTCTGTCACGTGCCTGTCGTTACAGCTGTGAAACTTGGAACGTGTAATCTCACATATTTTGTGATAGGCGGCTGCAAATATTGTAGATCTCTGAACAGACAAGTGTGATGTGAATGCATACTTTTGAGAGTATGATCCCAGCGAACTTAAAAAGAATTTTGATAAAGCGATCTTGCAGGGGTACGGTCTGAAAGTTGCCCGTGGAAAAATATGTGGTGGTGCTTTTATATGAAAACATTTCTCAGAAAAAAAAGCGCTGTTTTGGGCAAACAAATTTTCTGACAGTTTTTATTAATGCGTTTTTTTTTACAGGCGATCGATGTATGGGTTTTAAGGTATGTCTTGCCACTGCCTTTAAATAATCTTTTAAAGTCTGTAAAATTTATGATTTTCGAGAGGCAATACTGGTATTCCGCACGATCCTGACTTGTGATTCCCATCGGGAATGAAAATCGAGGTCAGTTGCCTCGGATTGCCCTAGACAATGCCAGAACTAACGCAAGGGCTGACTGCAACTTTTACTTGTTACTTCGTTTCAACAATTACGACCTAACTTCCTGCACTGCTGTGTTTTTTGGCCGAAACATTAAACAAGCCGCCGATTAGCAGTGTCCAAAGTGTTTCTATGCAGTTCTGAGTCTGAGAATTTTGTAGAAATTTGGGCATTCAATATTGGTGATGTTACGGAGATGTTGCCACACGTTGGGCGCATGTCTTCGATTGTGGACCGCACATTTCCAGTTAGTACCAGAGCTGTTCGGTGTACGTACGCCACCTCTTCGAAACCACCCGAGTAGCCATTTTGTGTTTATTCTGCAGATATCATTCAAACATTTTGGTTGCTGGGCCTTATCTCCTACCCCGTAAAATCGTCGATTTTTGTTTCCAACTTTTTAAAACTGCAAGGGAATGTTTGCAGTGGGATGACTTTCATATTTGCATCTTTGATTGAACTTGCGATGATTGGATTCATGAGCAGATATGAAGGCAGAGCTGACGTAAGACTTAAACAAATGCGTAAAAAGGTAAAATTTTAAAATTGCACTGGAAAAAGAATATCACCTTTGTTTTTGTATAGTCCATCAAAGTAGTCTGTGAGTATCAAAGTGGTCTCGATGTTGCAGAGATGAAGCCCAGCCGTGCAGTTTGTCAACGCGATTTTGCCTGATTCTACTTATCTCAGAGTAAAGCACTGTCCCTCCTTAACAAAAGAGTACATTCTTTCAGCGATCGCCACAATGATTTTTTGTGAATAATTCTGACAGATACGAGACGTTCATCGCCTGCTAAAAAAGCGAACTATGCATCTTTCTAGGAGCAGATTTTACCTTCATTCGAGGCAGTTTTATTCATACTGTCTATATGAATACCCGTTTGATTATAGGAAGAATATAAAGCATTTGCGTTCTTTATTCAAAAATTTAAAAAGCTGAGAATGCTGAAAAATATTATTTCAGAGGACGCCTCCGCTTTTGGACAGTGAAAAGTTGGACCTTTATTCAAGAACAATTTTTCCACGTTAGTTTAATAAAAATACTATTATACTAGGAACGCCTGAACAGTTATTGGTACCCGTGTTAGTGCTGCTAGTGGAGAAATTCCAGAAGTAGCTACGCCAGGCCCTCTGACTCCGGGCTGTACAGCTCTAGTTGTTAACCATCGCTCGACTGGTGTATGTGCTTCATCTTTTCGGGAGCGTCCGAGTTGTCGTTTACTTCCTTGAGTGTGCACTAAATAGTTTTATTCACTTAAGCCTAAATAATTCGCATAGAAAAAGAAAAAATTGGCCAACGCACGGGCTGCCCGTGCGAAGATGCGTTTTTTGCAGAGTTCCCCG